GGGGAGGGCCTGGAGCACAGGACTGGGACCTCCACACTGCACTTCATCTCAGAGCTGCACTGTTAGCTTGGAAGGGCTGCAAATCCAATGAGCACCAGGCATCCAGGTCTCAATTGTAAATCTTGATTAGCAGCAAGACTGCTCACATTCCATTAGAAACCTGGCCCCTCGCCAAAGGGTAGAAGCAGCCAGAAAGGGTTCACGAGCCGCCATAGGCATGGAAACAGCAATTCTTAGAAGAAAAACTGTTTTACTCAACTAAAAATAGTCTATGCCTATTAATGATTCAGACTGACCTTTATTCCTGAGGAGGAAGAATTGCTGTATAGAGATGAGCTAATGCTGCCAAGGGAAGCCAGAAGGAGAGACACTGGCATATGGTCAGGTACTGGAAGGTAAGACAGACTGAAACATCTTTCACAACACCTCTGGTAAGGACCAATAGATATAAAGGTGAAAAACAAAGGCTGTCTTCACCAAAATTGGGGGATGGTTATTTTTGTCAGATGGCTTGTTACTATTCTTTCCATCATGGGTTTTTAAAAGGAATCCAATTCTACGGCTTACAATTGGGTGGGGGAGGCGGAGGAGGGAATCTGGAAACAACCTAAATGCCCATAAATTAAAATCTGATACATGCACAATGGAATACTATGTAGCCTTTTAAAAGAAGGCCAACACAGACGGTGACAGATACAGAGGTATCTGTACTCTGTATGATACACCGAGACATGAAAACAATGCACCTGCTGTCTGTACAGCAAACATCAATGTAAATGTATAGAAGCTGCCTTAGTGTAGGAGGAAGAGGCCAGGAGAGTGTTATTTTTCCTTTTATACCCTTTAGTACAGTTTGAATTATCTATTCACGTACTTAACATTTTTCCCCCTTTTAATAATAGGCATTAAGTGGGCAGAAGGCTATTTTTGGTTTCTCCTTTATACTAGTTTCTCTCTATATAATTTAAAACAAAGAATGCTATTTTAAATAGATGTTACAGGCTCAATTGCATTTCCTCAATATTCATAAGTTGAAGCCTTGAGTGCCAGAACCTCAGAATTCGACTGTTTCAGAGACAGGGCCTTTAAAGAGGAGATGAAGTTAAAATAAAGCTGCTAGAGTGGGCCCCGACCCAATCTGACCGGCATCCTTATAAGAACATGAAATATGGGCATGTGCAAAGATGCCAGGGATGTGCACACACAGGAGAGACCATGTGAGGACACAGCAAGACGGTGGCATCTGCAAGCCAAGGAGAGACGCCTCAGAAGAAACCAAACAAGCCAACACCTGGACCTGGGACTTAAAGCCTCAAGAACTGTGAAAGAATGAATTTCTGTTGTTTAAGCCACCAGCCTGTGTTTTGTTACGGCAGTCCTAGCAAATTAATACAACATATAAATAAACACATGGATACAATTCACCTAACCACATGGAGAGAAGCGCCCATAAAAGTCTTCGATGGGTCAGGAACCCGCTGTGTCTGCCTCGATGAAGACGGCCTCACTGGGGCTCATGGTGCTCCTGCTACATCAGGGTCACCGGTTAAGGGACTGGAGCCAGGACTAAAACAGCTTCCTACTTCCTGATTCAGGACTCTTTCTGTTCATGTCGTTTATCTTTTATGGTCATTTTAACAAATCCCACCACTTGAAGCACTAGAGCCCAGGATGTTTTATTTATTAGTGTCATTTTATGGCCTGGCTTATATTCAAAAGGCTTTCTTCCTGTGCTGATAACTAATGAAAAGGAAGGTGTCACAGTAATATTATTAATTTGGTTAAAAAAAAAATAAAAGACTTGGCACCAGAGTTTAAAAATCCAGGAAAACAAATGATATGCCATATATGTGTGCCAACCTAATTTTTTATACTTTAATACATGGTCTCAGAACACAATACAATATATCGAAAGTATGGTAGTCCAAAGCTAAAGTTTTCTTTATAAAATTTTATAGATTTTTACAAATTTATAACCTTCTTGTTAAATATTAGAGTTTAGAGAGCAAAGATACATTAAAATCCCAACTTTGCCTATGGAGTCTACAACCTAAAAGTGGGTTAAGATCCAATCACATGAAAAGAAGGTGAACCTTGAAGATAAATATTTGATAGCTCAGGCTGCGTTCAGGGGAAGGTGGAATCATTTTGGCCTTGAATAATTACAGAAAGTTTTACCAAGGGCTAGAGCTCTAAGCCAACCTGGAATCAGATACACAAAGGTAAAGGAGAAGTAATTTTTTAAAAATATGTGAATATTATTTTAATAAAAATTTTGTGCCATCCCTTTTCTTTTTGACCTCATTTTCTTTAACTTCCCCTACAATTTTTTAAATTTAAAAATTTTTTAAATTAAAAAAAATTTTTTTTCATTACACTTTATATTCAATATTATTTTTTATTAGTTTCAGGTATACAGTATAGTGGTTAGACATTTATATACTTTACAGAGTGTTATGCCTAAAAATGTTTTTGCACAGCAAAGGAAACCATCAACAAAATAAAAAGACAACCGACTGAATGGGAAAACATATTCACCAATGATACATCTGGTAAAGGGTTAATATCCAAAATTTATAAAGAACTCATACAACTCAACACCAAAAAAACAAACAACCCAATTCAAAAAATGGGCAAAGGACCTAAATAAACACTCCTCCAAAGAATACACAGAGATGACCAATAGACACATTAAAAGATGCTCAATGTCACTAATCATCAGAGAAATGAAAATTAAAACCACAATGAGATATCACCTCACACCTGTCAGAATAGCTACCCTGCATAAATCAACAAACAAGTGTTGGTGAAGATGTGGAGAAAAGGGAACCCTCATGCACTGTTGGTGGAAATGCAGATTGGTGCAGCCACGGTGGAAAAATATCATGGAGGTTCCTCAAAAAATTAAAAATGAGACTGCCTTATGACTAAGCAATTCCACTTCTGGGTACATATCTGAAGAAACCCAAAACACTAGTTAAAAAGAATAGATGCACCCCTAACCTATGTTCATTGCAGAGTTATTTATAATAGCCAAGCTACGGAAGCAACTCAAGTGCACATCAGCAGACTAGTGGATAAAAAAAGCTGTGGTCCATTTACACAACGGAATATTACCAGGCAGGTCTGGGTGGGGCCTGAGCATCTCCATTTCTAACAAGCTTCCAGGTGATGCCAACGCTGCTGGTGTGGGGCAGAACTTTGATTGGCACAATCTGTGCTTCAGGGTTTCAAAGAGGCAGAGATGAATGTTGACCCTGCCTTGCTCTTAATAGTAACAAAGGAAAGAAAACAACATGGGCTTCTTCTACATTGTCACATAGGTTGAGGTTTAGATTTTTTCCTGATAATGAGAACAATTATACTTTGCCAGGATCACCACGCAATGCTTGCAACCCATTCACAGCAATTTTGTGAACCATAAGGTATGGAGTGGTTATATCTGCTTTCTTTTCCTTGGGCTCTGTTTTCTTTTTGTCTTTTTTTTTATTCTATTAACTTTATTATGCGTGGTTTTGGCTGTAAGTTGCCTCAAACCTTTACTTGAAAAAGGTGAAACCTAACCAATGCCTTTAATTGCATTGTCTTAGACAGTTAACACTGGTTTCAAAAAATTTTAAGGCTTTTAAGTTGAAAATGAAATCCAAGATTTAAAAAAAGAAGAATGAAATCTTACCATTTGTGACAACATGGAAGGACCCAGAGGGTATTAAGCTAAGTGAAATAAGTCAGTCAGAAAAAGGCAAATACCACGATTTCACTTATATGTGGAATCTAAAGAACAAAATAAACGAACAAACAAAACAGAAACGGACTCATAAAACAGAGATCAGGCTGATGGTTGCCAAAGGGGAGGAAGGTTGGAGGACTGGGCAAAAAGGTGAAGGGATTGAGAGGTACAGATTGGTAGTCACAAAACAGCCATGGGATGTAAAGTACAGCACAGAAAATACAGTCAATACTACCGTAACAACTACGTCAGGAGAAGTGGTTTATGCCTAGGTCTGTCATGTGACTAAGCATAAAGTTATGAAGGCAAGAACTGTGTACCTACGATCCTAACAGAGTGCCTGGCAAAGCAGGCATTTGCCAATGCCGAGGCAAGGGAACAGGCTGGAAAGTACACAGGATTGACCACCTTAGCGTAGGTAGGGACTCCACGTTCTTGTGGGATATAAGGTTGAAGAAATGGGGCCAACCTCTATATACTGAAGTATGGGCTTTATCCCTATGCAGGGCGGAGTCTTTGAAAGTGTTTCTGAAGGAAGACGTTATAAAGAACACAGATGGGGCAGGCAGTGGTGTGCGTAATGGAGCAGAGGTGATAGGAATGACAAGAATCAATCAATCAAGGGGCATCAGGAGGGTAATCAGGTGATTAGTTGAGAAAAATCTCAGCTTCCTAATCTGAAAAATGGGCATCACCCT